TTCCATGACACTTTGCAAACAGTGTCAGCTCCTGCTTTCTGCAGAAGGGGTGCGATTCCTGGCAACGGCGAGAGGCGCCTGGGTCCAACTAGGTCCCAACCAGGCAGGAGCAAGGCTTGTGAGCGCGCGGGGTGCGATGCTTGCCCCCTGAGGAGCTGTGCTCCTGGAGGAAAATCTCTCCCCTTGGGCACGGTGAACAACGTTTTGGCAGCCTCTGCTTTTGGAATAACAGAGAGGGTTTTTATCAGCCCCTGGGTTTGGGGTTTAGGCTGGAATATATGCAAAGCATCCCGCCTTGCCACGGTTTGTGCACAGGCAGGGCTTTGCTGGTGGGCGCTTTGTGGTGGGGGCCACGGTAGGAGCGATGGACAGAATGCATCGAACCCTTTTACTTGGACAAACGGATGGCTTTTTAATTATATGGGCCGCATACAGCGTGTTTGCTTCCGAACCAGGGTTTAAAATCTACACTGCAAATGAATATTAATAATATAGACAACTCGGTCAAATTTTAACAGGCCCATTAACATGATGAAGGCATCGGAGGGTCTGCTGGCTGCATACCCTGCTGATGAGTAACTTCTTAGGGGGGGCAAAAAAAAAAAGCAGAATAAAAAAACATGAAAAGCCTTTCATACCAACAGAAGGAGCGGGAAACTTACTCGCCTGACGTTGGTGGCCTGGTGGGGCTGTTGGGCGCGAGCCCATGGCCACCGGTCCCCCGGTAGGTGTCCATCAGCAGCGCAACCCCATGCCTGTGGGCGCCGTGGGGTGACCCAGCGCGGCTGCCGGCCTCCTGCTGCTTCGTGCATCTAGTTTTAAAGGTCAGAAAAAAAACCAACATCCGCATTAAAATAAAAGCCCTACATTTATCTGAGCATAAATTAATGGAAAACAATCCCGAGGCAGTTGTCAAGAAGGGCTGTCAGTGGCGGGCTGAGCCCAGGTGCTGTTTTGGGGTGCTCCTGATTCGGGACGTGGGGTGCTCCCGGCATGGGACGTGGGGTGTTCCTGGTGCAGGACGTGGGGTGCTCCTGATTCGGGACGTGGGGTGCTCCCGGTGCGGGACATGGGGTGCTCCCGGTGGGGG